TTCTTCGCGGGACTGCGTCGAAATGGTCGATTTCCCACCTGAATAATGAATCTTCGAATCAATCGATATCCTTTAGAAATGGCGTGATACCTGCGTGACGTCATCATCATCGATCGCGTTCAAATCAAACGGTGACACGGGATTGAATGCGTGACCATGAGCATAGGCGTATGGGGACGTTCCCTGGAAACGACGCAGTCATTTTTTCAAAGGTATGTGGTTGCAGACATAGAACGTCACAAAGCCTTTAGTCTATATCTCGATAGTGGAGAGGGCGTGTCCACGAAAGTAGTTGTGAGCGCAGCAGAGCTGTGAAGCTGAGTATCTGTCGCCTCTTAGCCGTGGTTTTGTTGGGCAGTGACTTATTTTTGTGGGATTTTCGCTGGTCTTACCTGCTTACGACCTCCAGCATACTTCTTTACACCTACTCCACACCTACGATAGAGGCTACACTATTGCCCCGCCCACGGAGAAGATAATTCCGCTTACTATGTATGTTTTACTTTTATTTATCGTTCAGCTTAAAGCACCACCTTATCCCAATTTATCCCCACGGACCGGTGTGCATCCAGGAAATCCTCATTCTTTTTCAACACTGGCTGCGGCTCAGGGTAGTGCTAACTTGTGGAAAAAGGTGCCCTGGACTGCGCTCCACGCTCCCTCACAGGTTTCTCGCGTTTGCAGGGATAATGGCTCTAAAGAGCTACGTGGTGAAGGCAAGCCACAACCCCGCAGCAACTCAAATGAAGTTCTCCCGCTTGGCTCTCTTTCCTTACCGTGAGATTCAAGAACAGATTCTAGCCTTGTTATGAATTCCAGAACTCACCGCTTCCACTGCTCCCGACAAAGGGAACCGCACTCCTGAACCAAGCGGTCCAACTGGCAACGGCAGGTCAATGCCACCAATGAAGAAGGTATCGTCACCTATGGAACTGTATCTAAAAAAATCCCACCAGATTGGCGAAAAAAAGCGTACCTTTCTCAACCCCACGGCAACTCCTTATATGAACAAACTGCATTAACAATATAGCTCGTTACAATTTCGATCGCTCCTCGAAATCCGTATCGGATTCGACCAACTACAACTTCTTTGCTTCTGAAAACAACGAATATTGGCTTTTTCTGAAAACACGAGAGAATCATTCCGATTGTCATTCAACTGGCAGATGGATCGCCTCGATCATTTCATGTTTAAGGGCACATTTCGCGATTACCGGGAAGGCTATTGGGCTTGTTCATAGCTAAAGTCGGTGGGAGGCACCACTTTCCCTTCCGAAAAGGCGCTAGGAGGTTGTGGTTTGTGGGGGTGCCACATGCAAATCTGCCTGATCGAAATCGATTATAGCACTGCCTTGTTCGTCTGAGTGCTTGGGTCGTTCCATCATTCTCGTCGACACACTCAATAGACAGGTCAATAACAGTTTTGTTGGCTGTGGATCTGAAATATGTCATGGAGGAGGGCGAGGAGGGGTGGGGGGTTGGCGGCGCCACTTCCCTTCTTTTTTCCTTCGGGAAGCTAAAAAATTGTACCATACGTTTGTCCTAGTTGTTTTACATCAGTTGTTTGTCACTCGGCTGCTCCATCACTTGGTGGAAGACGGGTTGGCGGCGGGCCAAACTCAGGGCCTTGGCTCAGGGCCCCTCCTCGGCAGCAAACACGACTCTAACTCCAACGCATTCGAACTCCATTACCTATGCCGCGCTGTCGTCGAAAGTATGGTCAGGGCACATCGTTGTTGGGGAGACAGAGGGAGGGACAGAGGGCCGAAGGGGGGGGGGGGTCGCACCAACCTCCCAAAAAGGGTGAGGGGAGTCTTACGGACTCGAATAAAATCCCCAACCAATGATGTGCCTTGAGAATGGTACCTTCTGGAGGTTAAGCAGTATGAACTGTCTATTTGGTGTAGTACCTTTCACAGGCTTTGCAGGTGACCACTTCATATATCTGGCCGAAAGTGACCTCTTTAGGAAGGTCTATCGTGAGGAAACAAACCCGAAATGTTCCAGATAACGTGAACACCTAGACCTGTGACCGATGAGCATGCGCTTAGTTTACGAGGCTTACTGTAGAAATCATATTTCTGGCCATATGAGTTATTTGTGATATAGCACTCACTTCTGGCTTCTCGGAACTCCGGGCTCTGTCCCAGAAGGGCTAGCGTTTCTGGTTTGATGTTCAGCTTATTTGTCGGTCGAATTTGATAGCCAACTTTGGTGTCAACGTTGATGTTTCCATAGTACAGGTTCCCATCGACGTCGAAGTTTCCCCAACCGGGAACGGGAATGTTCAGGTCGCCAGCGAGTGACTGCAAGCATTTTC